AGCATTATTCAAAGCAGGAATTTCTGAATGACTTGAGAGATATTGACTGGGACCGAGCACTAAACAAGGATGACATTGACTTCGCAGTCGATGATTGGAACAAACTTTTCACTCACGTTGCCGATAGTCATGCTCCGATAAGAAAATCAAGAATTAAAGGGGTCTGTTCTCCTTGATGAATGTAAGGCTAACTGAAGCTATGCACAAACGAGATCATTACCATCGTGAAGCCTTGTACAGTTACCTTTTACAATACCCTAATCCTCCCTCTTTTTTATTACGGGGACGTTATATGGGGGGACAAGCACAATGACACCAAAATGTCAGAATTACAGATCCTACAGAATAAAGCTGCTAAAGTTCTGCTGGGGCACCCACCCTGAAGCTCGTCAACCGAAGCACTGACGAGTTTAGATCTCAAGTCACTCTCTGCAAGAAGGTTTTTTCATCGCTGCATTGCAATCCACAAGTGTCTGATTGGGGAAACTGATTTTAACTTTAATTTTATCAAAAACCAAACTGTCCATTCATATAACACAAGACGTTCCAATGATCTTCATTTACCCCTTCCTCGAACTAACTGGGGTAAACAAAAATTTATCTATCGAGCTCCGAAAGACTGCAACAGTCTTCCAACTGATCTGAAAGAAACACATCTCTTATCTATTTTTAAATCCGAGCTGAAAACTTTTTTAAAAGATTTTGATTGATTTTAAACTTTGATATTTCGATCAGTTATCGATTCTAAGATTTTGACTCTTTTTCAATTTATTTATAGACATATTTTATTTCATTTTATTATTATTATCATTATTATTATTTTATCGATTAAGGTAATTAATTGTATTAATTAAATTAATTAGTTAATGAGGGCCCCCCTGAAAACCGCTGTGGCGAGTTGGGCTCCCTCGTTCAATATTATTATTATTATTATTATTATTATTATTATTATTAGAATTCTACATGCCCCAACGAGCGGTAATACGCGAGAATGCAGAATCAACCAAGTTACAAGTGGTATATGACCCCTCGTCCCATGCGTATGACGGTGTGCCATTCCTGAATGAGTGTTTACACACTGGTCCCCCATTACAGAATGAACTTTGGAATGTTATTGTCCACAACAGATTCCATCCTATTGCAGTAGCCGGGGATATGCGCAAGAGCTTCCTACAGATACGTGTCAAGGAAGCCGAACGTGACGCACTGAGATTTCACTGGATGAAAGACAAATCGACTGAAGAGCTGGAAGTGTTAAGGTTTACGAGAGTGGTGTTTGGTCTTGCTCCTTCTCGTTTCCTACTCGATGCCGTGATACAACAAAACCTGGAAAGTGTGCAATCTGAGTACTCAGGGACTGTTCAAGAAATCAAGAACAGTCTGTATGTAGATGATTTGATTACCGGAGATACTACTGTGGAAGGTGCGCAACAGCTCAAACATAATGCGGTAGAGATCTTTAATCGTGCAAAGTTCACCTTGCACAAATGGCACTCAAACGTGCCAGAACTAAAAGGCGACTACACAGATGACGAGCCTTCGTTTACTAAACAGCAGCTTGGTGCATCATCAGCTCGTGGAGAGTACAAACTACTGGGACTCAAATGGGACAAAGGGGATGACACTTTATATGATTCATTCCCATCTTAGCCTGCTACATTGACCAAACGGGGCATCCTCGCCAACTTAGCGAAGATTTATGACCCGTTAGGATTTGTGTCGCCTGCAATGTTGGAGGGGAAACAAATCTATCGAGAGGCCAGTGAGATAAAGTTGAGCTGGGATACCCCACCTCCCGAAGAGATTGCCAAATAGTGGCCAAAATGGGAGAAGAATGCATCGGATGATGTGTACTTTCCTCACATTCTTGTTCAGTACCAGGAACCGATCGACAACATTAAATTTCTTGCATTTGGTGATGCAAGTATTCATGGTGTGTTTGCTGCTGTGTATGCTGTGGTTACACAAGCGTCAGGCGTGACACAGGGTCTGATTGCCGCCAAATCCTGCCTCGCCAAGAAAAGTCTGACGATTCCTCGTTTGGAGCTCGTGTCAGGCCACATAACAGTCAACTTGACAACAAATGTGCGGGTTGCTCTAGAAGGCTTCAGTATGACGAAGGATATACAGTGCTGGCTCGACAGCACTGTAGCCCTACACTGGCTGAACGATGACGGGGAGTACCGCCAATTCGTAGCTAATCGGGTTAAAAAGATCCATAGCCACCCGAACACGCAGTGGAGACATGTACCGACATCCGAAAACCCAGCTGACTAAGGGAGCCGAGGCGGCAGTGTGAATGAAGCGGAGCTATGGTGGAACGATCCGCCGAGGTTGTCTGACCCATCTCAGTAACCTGCTGATATTGTGACAAAGGCGACAGATGACAGCAATGCAGAGAAGAAGGTTCAACGAGAACTTTTCGCGCTCGGTGTCGAAGCAAACAATGACTTTGACACTGTTCTCGAGAAGTTCAGCTTGCGTAAAGCCATGAGAATTTGTGCATGGATCTCGCGATTCAATCACAATTCTTGTCACCCTTCCGAGAAGATCATAGGATCTCTCATGACCGAAGAAATTCAGCAACAAGAAAGGTCCTGGATCAAGCGAGCGCAGAGCCAAGGGGCAAAGACGGTCAAGTTTGCCTGTGACCAGGAACAATTGAATCTGCAACACCGATGGTGTATTGAGGACGCAGTCAGGGTGAGCATCCGATTTACTTACCAGATTCAAATTCTTTCACAGCGGAAATAGCGAAGCAAGCGCACGAGACAACTCTCCATGGCGGAGTCAGCATGACTTTGGCTAAAGTACGAGAAAGATTCTGGGTGCCAAGGCTTCGACGGCTTGCCAAGAAAGTAGTGAGACACTGCTTTGGCTGCATGACCCACCACCAGGTGATGTGCCGAAGTCACGTACTGAAGGGAGTACACCTTTTGATGTCATCGGGGTGGACTTAGCAGGACCAATCAAGTATGGTGGTAAGTGCAAGAAAGAGGAGAAAGTCTACGTCGTACTATATTCCTGTTGTCTTACCCGCGGAATCTTCCTGAAAGTGCTACCCAGCCAAGAAACGGGCGAATTTATAAAGAGCTTTAAACGTCTGATCGCGAGGAGGGGTCGATCATCCCTTGTCTACTCAGACAAAGGTTCTACGTTCACAGTTGCGGCAAAGTGGCTGACGAAAGTGAAGGAGGATAAGAAGTTCCACTCATTCTTGAGTAATCAATCCATCACTTGGCGCTTTGATGCGAGTAGAGCGCCATGATGGGGAGGAGACTTCGAAAGACTCGTTGGCTTATTCAAGTCTTCATTCTAAAGTCTGTAGGTCAGGGTCTACTAAGCTGGTACGAGCTCTGCGAGGTAGTCCTTGACATCGAAGTGTAGCTTAACCATCGACCTCTTAGTTACGTGGAGGATGACCCGCAATTCCCTACACTAACACCTAACTCCTTACTGTTTCTGAATGCTAACATTTAACCTGAGCTCGAGCCACATCTTCTCTAAGACCGCGACTTGAGGAAACGTGCGAAATTCTTGAAAGCTACCAAAGATACAATGTGGCGTCGTTGGACCACGGAATACCTTAGAGCTTTTGAGAGAGGGGCATCAACTTAAGCATAACACCAAACCAAACAGCTTGTCCGTAGGAGATGTTGTTATCATTAAGTCTGATGAGCGAAACCGAAATCAATGGCCCATGGGGGTAGTAGAAGACTTATTTACTGGACGAGATGGTGTTGTTAGGGCAGCGAAATTAAGAGCAGGCAGAGGATTCATGGAACGCCCAATCCAACATCTCTACCCATTGGAGTTGTCGTGCGACAGAAACCCTACGCCTTGTAATGACACACCTTTGAACCGAACTGCAGTGAAGTTCCGGTCGCGACGAGATGCTGATGTGGCAGCACGTCAGCAAATACGGGACATTGTAGAGGAAGACACTTGAATGTGGTTACCAAAGAAACATTTTTATACTTATTTCTTGTTGCGTTATGGAGTCAGTTCCACTTGCATATGCATTGTTCCCAAGTCATATGGAGGAGAGTGTTGGAAACTGTAAGATACGTTAATTATTCTCAATTTGATTGACATTTATAGGGGACTTCGTTTATTTATACATGACTAAGCAAACCTGTATGCAGCACGTGTTTTATCGTC